TGTCTGACTTCCTCCTTATCGGCTAGCTAACTTATTATGTAACCTTCCCACTTGGTCAGACTTGACTGAATAATATAGTAAGCTGAAACGTTTAAGATAAACAGTTGTTAGTGTACTCTAGCATTTCATAGTTTTGACTTTTGGTAATAGTACAGTTCTGAGTTAAGAACCTGATTCTTGGAGCACCAGGAACACCCGCCCCTTTTGCAGAAGAATGTTTTGATGTACCTGTGGTGTTAAAAGTACGCTTATCAAAATATTTCACACAATTACGAAACTGTTGAGGTTAGATGAAAACTCTGGAAATCAGCTAGTTGTGTGAATGTCCATCTCCTCCTCCACCTTGCCATGCACTGCTCAGAGTAGGCTCAACTACAGCAGGTTCTCCAGGGCCACATCTAGTTGGATTTTGAATATCTTTAAGGATAGAGACTCCACAACACTTCTAGGGAAGCTGTTTCGTTATTTGACCATTCTCATAGCAAAGAGGTTTACTCTTATGTTTAAACGGAATATGCTGTATCTCAGCTTCTGTATGCTGCTGTTTGTCATGTCACTATATACCTCTGAGAGTCTAGCTCCATCTTCTTTACTCCCTGCTTCCCCCATTCATTCCTAATCAGGAGTATATATACATTGATGAGATCCCATACAGCTTTTTCCTCCAGCCTGAGTGATCCCAACATTCAGTCTCTCATATCTGGTGCTTCAACAAGCCCTTAGTGGGCCTTGTTGGGGCCCACCCTTTTTAATATCTTTACTGATTTGGATGAGGGAATAGAGTGCGCCCTCAGTAAGTTTTCAGACGACACCAAGCTGGGGGGAAGAGTCGATCTGCTGTAGGGTTGGAAGGGCCCTGCAAAGGGACCTGGACAGGTTGGATAAATAGGCAGAGATTAAAAATGGGATGAGGTTCAACATGGCCAAGTGCCAGGTCCTGCACTTTGGCCACAACAACCCCATGCAGCGCTACAGGCTTGGGGTAGAGTGGCTGGAAAGCTGTGCAGAGGAAAGGGATCTAGGGGTGTTGGCTGATGCTTGCCTGAACATGAGCTGGCAGTATGCCCAGGCAGCCAAGAAGGCCACTGGCATCCTGGCTTGTATCAGGAATAGTGTAGCCAGCAGGACCAGGGAGGTCTGATCCGAACTGATCCTGCGTGGGCTTCACACAGGCAGCAGCTCTTCCAGAACTGCTCCAGATATGGGTCTGTACCATGGGGTCTATCCCTCAGGAGCACATTGCTCCAACCTGGGTCCCCCATGGACAACGGCTCCTGCCAGGTCACCTGCTCTTGTGTGGGCTCCTCTCCATGGGCTACAGGTCTGGCCTGGAATCTGCTCCGGCAGGGGTCCTACACAGGCCGCAGCCTCCTTCAGTGCAGGTCCATCTGCTCCACCGTGGTCTCCTCCACAGGCTGAAGTGTGGAACCCTGCTGCACCATGGTACTCCATGAGCTGCAGGGGGATAACCTGCTACACCATGGTCCTCACCACAGGCCACAGGGGACTTCTGCCTGGAGCGCCGCTCCCGCCCTCCCCCTCCTTTACTGACCTTGGTGCCTACAAAACTGTTTCTCACTCCTCTCTCTGCTTCTGTTCCCCAGCAGTTGTTTGTTTGTTTGTTTGTTTGTTTTCCTGTCTTAAATATGAGGCGCTAACAACACCACTTATTGGCTCAGCTCTGGTCAGCAGCGGGGCCCTTACCTAACATGGGGCAGCTTCTAGATTCTTCTCACAAAAGCCACCCCTCTGCCCCCCCCACTACCAAAACCTTGCCACATAAACCCACTACATCATCCCTGGGGGTGTTTAAGGAAAGGTTGGATGTGGTGCTTAGGGACATGGTTTAGTGGGTGATACTGGTGGTAGGGGTATGGTTGGACCAGATGATCTTGGAGGTCTTTTCCAACCCTAATGATTCTATGATTATGATTCTAGTAGGAGATTCTCTTCTGAGAGGTACAGAGGCACCCATCTATTGACCCGATCTGCTCTTGAAGTAAGTCTGCTGCTTACCAGAGGCTCGTATCCGGGATGTTACCAAGAGACTGCCAAGCCTTGTACGGCCTAAGGACAATTATCCACTGCTGCTGTTTCACATGGGCACCAATGATGCAGCCAGGAGCAGCCTGAGGAGTGTCAAGAGGGATTATAGAGCCCTGGGAGCAGTAGTAAAGGACTCAGGAGTGCAGGTAGTTTTATCATCAGTCCTGCTGGTCAAAGGGGAGAAGATTGAAAGGGCCAGTCAAAGCTGGAAAATTAACAGATGTTTGCAGGACTGGTGTGACAACCAAGGGTTTAGCTAGTTAGACCATGGGACTTGCTTTGAGAAACCTGGTCTACTTGGGGCAGATGGCATCCATCTGTCAGAGACGGGGAAGAGCATCTTCGGTCATAGGCTTGCCAAGCTAGTGAAGAGGGCTTTAAACTAAAGTTGCTGTTGTAGGGGAACCTCAGTCCATCCAGCTCCTACCAGTTTTATACCAGTGCCAGTAATAGATGCCCAAAGCCTGGAAAAGTATCACAGGTCAGCAGGAGAACACCTGAAGAGCAGCACAAAGGAAGTCCAGCCACTCCAGACAGTAAGTTAGCTTCATCAGGGGCCCAAGTCAAATGTCTCTACGTTAATGCACGTAGCATGGGGAATAAACAAGAGGAGTTAGAGATGTATGCATGCCTGCAGGGCTATGATCCTATTGGCATCACGGAGATGTAGTGGCTCCTATGACTGGAGTGTTGGAATGGAAGGATACAGGTTCTTTAGGAAAGACAGGCAGGGGAGATGAGGAAGGGGTGTCACCCTCTATGCCAATGACCAGTGCATAGAGCTCTGCCTGGGAATGGATGAGGAGAGGAGCTGACTGAGAGCTTATGGGTCAGGATTAAAGGGAGGGCAGGAACAAGGGACATTATAGTTAGAGTGTGCTACAGGCCACTCAACCAGGAAGACCGACCTGTAGTTCCCTGGGTGTTCCTTTTTTCCCTTTTTAAAAATAGGGGTTATGTTTCCCCTTTTCCAGTCACTGGGAACTTCACCAGACTTCCACGACTTCACAAATATAATGGATAGTAACTGTAGTGGGTTTACATGGCAATGTTTTGGTAGCAGGGGGCCATAGGGGTGGTTTCTGTGAGAAAGATCTAGAAGCTGCCCCATGTTTGGGAAGGGCCCCATGTGGCGTAATGACCACAAGGACACCAGCATTTCTTTTAGGATCAATAACTTCAACTACTTTATTGAGGACAGGCTCCCTTCTTATATCATTAGCTCTACAAGTAGTACTTTTCCACTAACTATTCGTAGGTTAAATATTTGCTCGGCAAAAGCAAATATTTAGCAACTTCCATGTCTTAATGTTTGAGAATAAGCAGTTTGAGACAGCAAGGTGTCTCCTGAATCACCCTTCTTTGTTCCTTCTTACTTGTTTACATTCCTCATGGCTTCATCATCAGGAGTCCAACTTATCACCAGTCATGGGGCTTGTCGACTCCCATGGCAATACTCCCACAGGGATAGAGTTAATTTCCTTTATAGTGGCTGGTATGGTGCTATGTTATGGATTTGTAATGACAGTAGTGCTGATAACACACTGATGTTTTAGTTTTTGCTAAGCAGTGCTTACATAGTGCTTCTCATGCTGCCTCGCCAGTGAGTAGGCTGTATGTTCACATACAGAGTTGCAGTTAGCGGCTCATTGTCCAGGTAGAGACCAGTGACTAGTGTTGTCCCTTAGTGGTCTTTTTTGGGACTGGTATTATTTAGCATTTTTGTTGGTGGAATGGACAGTGGGATTGAGTACACCCTCAGAAAGTAGGTTGAGAGAGTTGGGTTATAGCCTAAAGAAGAGAAGGCTCCAGGAAGACCTTATAGCAGCCTTTCAGCACTTAAAGAAGGCCTACAGAAAAGATGAGGGACTTTTTACCAGGTTATGTAGTGATAGGAGAATGAGTAAAAGTTTTAAACTAAAAAATGGTAGATTTAGATTAGATATAAGGAAGAAATTCTTTACTATGAGGGTGGTGAGGCACTGGAACAGGTTGCCCAGAGAACTTGTGGATGCCCGCCCCATCCTTGGAGGTGTTCAGTGTCAGGTTGTATGGGACTTTGAGCAACCTTTTCTAGTGGTAGGTGTCCCTGCCCATGGCGGGGGAGGGTTGGAAATTGATGGTCTTTAAGGTCCTTTCCAATCCAAACCATTCTATTATTCTATGGTATATAATACTCTTAGTTTTCACCTGCTTATAGTAGCCACCACTGTCTGGAATGTGGTCCAAGTATGCAACCCATTATTGATGCCAGTGTGTGCTCATGGCCATGACATTCAGCAGACCTTTGGTGTTCTGAGTTTATCGGTTCTTGTGGATTCAACAGGATTGCTAGTTTTAGGAGCTTATCAGTCCTTGGGAGACTTTCACATATTATCTTCTCAGCATGGGTTTTTCTTCTTTGGCCTGCTCTTTTCTGGTAACTATTGCTCCATCCACATACATATGTACCTATAGAGCCAATTCACACAAACTTGTACAGAAGAGGCTTTTATAACAGTTCTTTATGTTGTGTATACTTACACTATAGAACTCTGTACTGCAGGATGATGTGGGTATTAGACATTTACATAGCTTTTAAAAAGCAATTGGTAAATTCTCAGAAGAATTATTGGCTGAGGATTATTAATACAAGGCCCCACATCTGGTTTAGGAAAGTCCTGAATTGTTTGTAATTGGGGAGCATTCTGGAGGCTATTGTTATTTATTTGCCATTCTTATACCTTTCCCCAAGGATCTGCAGTTGGCCCCTGCTGGGAACAGATTGCAAACAAAAATAGAAGGATTCTTTGGGGGAAGCTCGATAGGTGGGATATTTTGGTTGCATTTTGGAATATAGCTACACTGATAGTCCCTCTAAGCTTTAATTTATGAAACAGATAAGTTTTATTTACAAAGTAGTTTAATTCATTTTAATTTTGCCTCTTAACCTGTCCGATGATTCTGTCTTGCAGAAAGCACCTCTACTTCTACATTACAGACCCAAAATGGAATTGCTGTAAGAGATCTTTATTGTCCTTCTGGACAGGTGTTTTTTTTTTTTTTTTTTTTTAGAGACTATCATCTGACACCTTAGTGCAGCATTTAACTCTTATGTGATGTGAACCAACAGAATCATTTTGGAAGTCTGTAGTGCTTTTATAGCAGACTGTCCTTCTGAATATTTCTAGTGATTTGCTGCATGGATTTTTGGACAAATATATATATATATTTTTGTACAAAATGAAATAATTCACAACTCAACAGTACTCTACCAGCACTGAATTTACAGGTAGTGAACACTTCACAGTTCCATGGAGCTCAGCCTGATTCATCTATTTGTAGCCATACAAAAATAAGTTAGAATGTCGTGGGAATGATTTAAAATGTTGCTTTTAACAAAAAATTACTACATTTGCTTATTTTTTTCTTGAAACTTTACAACTTATTTCCGTATATCTTTCTGAGTTTTTCTTGTTTTATATAATATGTCCAGTTTTGTCACCTTTAATCAAGCCATTCTATAGAACATTGAATATAGTGAATCATAGTGTATCATTGAATTAATGATACAGTGACTGGTAATATTTATTGTGCTGCATTATAAACTTCCAAAAAGCCTGGAGATCCAATTAGTTCATTAGTTTTATGCAATGTTTGATCTGTATTTTGTATTTCAGTAATGTTTTAATATCCCCACATTTATGTGTTATTTTGGGTTTAATAGAAATGAGTTCACTTGACTTTTTCTTTAATCTTTTTTTTTTTTTAAATAAGTCTTAATATTTTTGCCATGGAATACATTAGGTCTGATTGTAACAAATGCTCAGAAGTACTGAACTTGTGAAATTGTTTTAAAACAAATATGTCATGTAATCAGAGATTGCAAAACTCAAATTTTACTTTAGGGAGTATTTGCTGTTTCATAGCTGTAAAAACTATGGTTGTTAGGCACCTTTTATTGATGCTGCAGAAGCTTCCATTTCACTAGATAAAAATTCTTCAGTTAACTGCAAACCAGTTCTGTGTTTCTTTCTGTTTTCTATATGAAACCATAACTATTTTAAGCGCAACTTACAGTTATCTTTGAGGTCAGATTAGATTACAGGGGTACCTTCTGACCTTATCTGATAAGTTTGATTGTGTCAACCCCTGAGAGATACAATATGTGTATGGGTGTCTATGTACAGATGTGCATGCACCTTAGAGAATCTACCTTCAGTAGTACTTAGCAGAGTACTGATTGCACAGCTTGAAAGGCTTTTTAAAATAGTCAGCTTCATAAAATTGTGGTAGTAGTTGAAAGTGATTTCTGCAAGCTTTATGCTGCATAGGATTATATATAGCATGGGTGTGTGTGTTTGACATGGGGTCTTAAGTCACTGAAAAGAAGATAAGTAGTATTATTGGCAGCTGGTGGCTGCCAGTAGTTTTTAACTCTTGGATGAGTTTTCCTGTCAGCTGAAAATGGCAGTTATATCAAACACTTTATTCTTTCATAAAATGTCAGTGACTCAGAAAATCAGTATGCCAGTTAGCACTGTCCTGTTTCTTCCAAATGTGTTCTCCTACTTTGCAAGAAAGCATTGCTTAATGTTACTTGATAATGGGAGGTTGATCCCACAAGAGGCTTATTCAAGTATTCTAAATCCTATTGTCTCTTCTTGAATTTTTCAAACATGTTGTTCTGTGCATCTCCCATGCTTTTCTTAATTGGGCTTTTTAGTTCGTTCCTAGTTTTGCTGTTGCTAGAGTGAAGTGTTAAGTTTTCTTGTTTTTCTTTGGGAATGGGACCCTTGTTTTCATTTCAGTACCCATATGTGAATGGTAAGGAAATTGAAAGAAATACAAAGAGGAAAAAAAAAAGTCTACTGAACTATGGGGATGGCCAAGAAAGACACAGTAAGGCCAGTGGAAACTGAAAGAGGTTAGCAGTTACAAACATAATTTCAGAAACCACTCAGCCATTCAGTTCTAACTCTTGCTCTAACAGTCTATAGTACAGAATATGTAACTACATTTGGAATCACTTGAATTTGTTATGGTGCTATATCAATATATTTAAATCTGTTTATATAGGTATGCACCTGTAGCCAGTGTTAATACTTATAGCTGGTGATTACTCATAATTCTATCTGTGTTTAGTTTAATCTGATAAAACCTCAGCAATGTTAAAAAAAAAAACAAAAAACAACCACACACACACACAAAATCAAACAAACAAACAAACAAACAACCCACACCTCACAGCCCTATTTTTTCTCATCATTTCACAATATATTCATTCCAAAAACTTATTTCCCATAGGGAGGAATGGGATGGTGTCTACACAATTTGTTTGCTTTCTAGCTTTATAGAAAGACTACACAACAGCTGTTAATTAAAGTCAGAGGCAAGCCTTGGGGTCAAAATTCAGTTTTATTTATTTGAAGCTTAAGAAACAGTTGGTTTAATGTCAAAATTATATTGGGTAAAAAAAAATACTGACTTTTTAAACTTTAAAATCTTAAAGTTGGGCTCAGTATTTCTTGAAACTTGCTGAGGTCATGATTAATTTATTTTGATCTTAATGAAGATAGCATTATTGTGAAGCAATTTTTGCATCCACTTATGCTGGTAAATAATTGAGATAAAAGGTATCTCATAACATTATCCTCAGCAGCAATGAGACTGAATTATCCCAGGTTCAGAGCTTCTGTAGATATAGTTTTCATTAAAAATAGGTAATTCACAGAAATATATATAATATTGTATTTAAATAAGATTTGTGAACTTTAAGTTAACTTTATAAAAATTATTCATTATATTAAGCATTCTGTTTTGTCATCTGAGTATTTTTGGTTTCAAAGGTCTGGCTTTATTTGCATATAACAAAAAAGGTTTTACAGATTCTTTTTATATGAAGTTTGAATGCCTTTTATTTGTATGTCTTTGAGATATATGGCTAAAGAGCATTGATTATTCTTTTGTCCAGTGGGTCAGAAACATGCATTTATAAGGTATGTGTTTAAATTGTAAATTTAGCATCTACTCCTAAAGTGAAAAGGAATATAGGAGGGAATTTTCATATATATATTCAGTGGGTTTTTGCTTTGGATTTTCATTTGTGGCTTTTGTCGTTTTTTTGTGTTTAAGAATGAAGTTTGGAATTTTATGGGGTTGTAAAATATGTAAGTGCAAGAACTACCCATCAGCAATATTTTAAAATGAATTATCTAGCAAGAATTGTGGAAGTAATCTGCAAAAGATGCAGCCTATCTAAAACTGTATTTTGCCATAGCTATGTTTGGTATCTTTGTGTATCATCTAAACTGGGAATATGTATTTTTATTGGTTGTGCAATAATATACACAGCACTTGTAACCTCTGATAACATGCAACTGCCAAAATAATACTACAACTATGATGGTACTATTGTTTTTTCAATAGACTATGAAGCTTTGAAAGCTTTTCTGGCTCTATTGTTATAACAGTATAATTAGTCTTAAGAGATTCACTTTTTGGTTGTTGTTCCTACTGGATGGTAAAAGTGACTATGCAGCTAGCCTATTCTCCAATTATATGAATCTTAGTTAAGTATAATAGGAAAGAGCCAAATAGTCTGTACATCAACACATTAAACTTAATAAATGTGTTTTCTTAGCAGTACTTAAGAAATGTATTTAGTACATAAGGCTGAATTGTATAGAGAAATCTAGTTTATGTATTTCCTATGGTGATTGATTCAGTTTGGACATTTCACCCGGAGATATTAATACAATTTATGTTTTAGTTCTTCTGCCAGAAGGTAGTAGTTAATAACAAGAAAAAATGTCATACGCATTGGAATCATTGCATAAGATTCACTTAGATACAACTGAGAGGTATTGACTTCTGTCTCTTTTAAAGGTACAGAGAGAGCATTACGGTGCATAACATTAGCATAGAAAAATAATGTAATGTCTGCTTTCCTCAAAATTTGTAATCAGGTACAGACACTCTTTGGGTACCTGCCTTTTATGGAAAGCCAACAGTTAAATTTCTACAACATAGTTTGATATGCGTATATACAAATCTAAAACTCCATTTCTGCTCATTGAGCCACTTGAGTGGATCCTCAAGGCTTCTTGGAAACCTTCTGAAGCTGCCATGACCTGCTAAAGTCAGATTACAGAACAGAGGTTAAAAGTCCAATTCTGCAAATTCTAACACTGGTAACTTTATTACTAACCTGGATGATTCCACTGAAGGCAGTGGAATTGCTTAAATGTGTGTCTGCAAGATGGAGTCCCAATTTTTGAAGGATGGATTGATGTTTCTGTAACATTTAACTTAAAGCATTGGTTTAATAGAGTTTTTATCGAAGTAATTTAATTGGACAAAAAGAGTTTGTTCTTTCTGCAACAGTATTAAATTAAGGTTAAATACAATAAGCTAGTGCAATCACTAAACCTTTATCCTCAATATGTGGCATAATAGAAATACTAAAACTATCACAGTGTAAGACCATATTTTTTACTTGGTTTCACTTGAGAGTTTACTTTTTATACTGTTTCCTCTGTGATTTTTGTACTATTGGTGTATAGTTTTGGTCTGAAGAAGTCTTTTGGGATTATTGCTTAATGTTTTGATTTTATGATAGTGATGCTTGTATTCAGTGTTTTGCCAAATAATATTATATGCTTGTTAATAAAAGTAAAAAAGCTAATTGAAATCCTGCAAGGCTGGTGGTAGTTGTTCCATTCCCCCCCACCCCTGCCCCCGCCCCCAGTACTATATTATGTGAGCTAGTCTTTTATGTTCTTAAACACACAACGATTGGAACAAGAATGACATACATGGTTCCATAATCAATATTTATCCCCATACTTCACTACTTATCATGCTGAAATTGACTATTAATGTCAGTTAATATCTTCTATTGGGGGGTTGTAGGTGTTTTGCCATCTATATGTATTTGTGTATCTAAATATACTTACCCTACATGTACATGTTACTTTAAGTTTAGCTTGCAACTGATGATGCTGATGTAGAGGGTAGACTGGACTGTGACACAAGTAAAAGTGTAATGCATACCAACCCAAATTCTGTTTGTTCTCAAATAGGGGGGAAGGGGTCATACCTGTCCCTGATGATTTTCTTACAGCATCTTTCTACAGTATTGCAAGTTTACAGACTATTCTATTGCTCTTTGTATTGAGGAATGCAAAAGGGTTCTTTTCCTGCTATCAATTTAGGAACTGTCAAGAGTTTTTGTTAGGTTCCAAGTTAGAGGTTTGTTCTTACATGCAATTCTCACACCAATGGTAGCCATATATAATCATAGAATCATAGAATGAATCATAGAGTCATTCAATCATAGAATATCTTGGGCTGGAAGGGACCTCAAAGATCATCTAGTTCCAACACCCCTGCCATAGGCAGGGATGTCACCCACTAGATCAGGTTGCCCAGGGCCTCATCTAACCTGGTCTTCAATACCTCCAGGAATGGAGCATCCACAACCTCTCTGGGAAACCTGTTCCAGTGCCTCACCACCCTTTGAGTGAAGAATTTCTTCCTAACCTCTAATCTAAATCTCACCTCTTTTAGCTTAAACCATTCCCCCTTCTCCTGACATTATCTATTTGAGCAAAGAGTCACTCTCCAACTTTTTTATGGCCCCTTTAAGTACTTAAAGGTTGCAATAAGGTTGCCCCAGATCCTTCTTTTGTCCAGACTGAACAGCACCAGCTCTCTCAGCCTTTCTTCGTAGAAGAGCTAATCCAGCCCCTTAATGATCTTTGTGGTCCTCCTCTGGACCCGCTTTAACAGATCAACATATTTCTTGTGCTGGGGGCTCCAAACCTGGATGCAGTACTCCAAGTGGGGCCTCACAAGGGCAGAGGAGAGGGGCACAATCCCCTCCCTCGATCTGCTGGCCACTCACCTTTTGATGCAGCTCAGGATGCAGCTGGCCTTCTGATCTACAAGCTTGCACTGCTGGCTCACATCGAGCTTTTCATCCACCAGAACCCCGAAGTCCTTTTCATGCTGGTCTGCTCTCAATGAGTTATTTTCCTAGTCTGTACTCATGTGCAGGATTGCCCCAATCCAAGTGCAGCACCTTGCACTTGTGACTCATGGAAAACTGACTCCACAATCAGTAAGATTGTAAAGTAGGTATGTTTATTCAGAGCTGGGCAGCATGGGGGGTAGTCCAGTCAAAGTCGTGCGCGCCTGACGTGGCAACTTGCCTTAGCTATATGTAGTAAACAGTTACATATGCATGAAGTTTCACAATACGCCTGTATATATTCATAACCTGTCCCCACTTCATATTAAAATTAGTTCCAAAGAGTCATTTCCATAAACTCCTCCCATCTGCGCTTGCACAGTGTATTCTGGTGGTGGTCGTCGGGGGTCATGGGGATGAAGATTGATGACTCTTCCTCGTCACCGCTAGTTGACCTCTTGTCTTTGCGCAGACTCAGTTGCTCCTTGGCTCTTGTCCATCCGCAGGACCAGTTTCTACCAGTTTCTTAAAATAGGCTCACACTCTTATTAGGAGACTGACCTTGATAAGGGGCCCAAGGCTTCTTGCTTTAGTTAATTTGCACAATGCACCATAGTTAGCAAAGACACTAAGTAGCATCCTAGTTTAATGCCGTCAGCGCTTTATCTTACTTGATAAGATTCTCCTAACTCCCTCTCTCACGAGGGGCTCCTGTTATCTCGAGGCCTTGCTTGTTCGACATCCCTTTTTAAGAATAGTCCTCCTTATTTCTGAGCCCTTGGTCACAGTCCAAACCATAAGGTTGGTTTCATCTGGTTCTCAGGGTCCCAGGGGCTCTTGTTATCTGGAGGCCTAAGCGCAGCACAGGCACAGTACATCAGAAATATAGCACATATTAAGCAATGAGTGTTGCCTATATATTCACTCTTAATCAATCACTCTAATTTTTAATCCCATGCTTCACTTGGACTTTTTGAACCTCATTAGGTTCATTTGGGCCAAGTTCTCAAGCTTGTCCAGGTCCCTTTGGATGGCATCCCTTCCTTCTCTTGTATCAACTGCACAACTCAGCTTGATGCCCTTTGCAAACTTGCTGAGGGTACGCTCGATCCCAATGTTTATGTCATTGATAAAGATTTTAAACAGTACCAGTCCCAGGACAGTCCCCTGAGGGACACCACTTGTCACTGGTCTGCACCTGGACATAGAGCCATGGACATGATGGATATGCTTTTCTTCAATACGGGAAGAACGGGATACATAAGGACCGAAGGCCTAGTTGCTTGACAACTTAAAGCAAGACATATTGCTCAAAAGGAATGGAAAATGGAGACTGTTAAGTCATGGAACTTAAAGGATTGTTTGTTACCTTTTCTGATTGTACATATGTATAGGTGTACTCAGGTTTAGTATGTAAAAGCAATGTTTTGTATATTTAGAAAGTTTGATGTTTGTGTGTGCATGTTGGTGGAACGTAGACTCCCCGCTGTCCCATTAAGGGGTGTAGCTGATTAACCGTTATGGGCCTGGTCAGATTCAGGGTACTGAACTATCAATCACAGATTTCACCAATGACGCATTAACCGTTAGGGGTCCAGTCGGATTCACCAATAACAGATTAACCATTAGGGGTCTGCTTGGATTCAGAACACTGAACTATCACGGTCACGGATTCACCAATAATGTATAACCACCCTTACCCTAGTTGCACTTAATGAGAGCTATAACAATACAATCAAGTGTGATTTATTACAGCAACAGGTACACAGGTTCTTTGGATTGCTGGCGATAGTGACTGTCTGCAAAAGCAAGCTATCATGCATGAAACACAGGTGTTACAGGTGTTACAGGTGTTACAGGTGCGCAGCCTAGAAATAAACGCGTTAAAAGGATCAAAGACTCTAGAGAGATTTATAACCAAGTGTTCAAATCTCACCCAAAGGCATCCCAGTGGGGGGGAAGAGAGGCTCAGCTCATCGACTGATCCCAGAAGTCAGAAGGTCCCTCACGACAGTATCTTCCCTGACAATGGTATCTTCTCTAACATCCCCTTTCTCTTAAGACAATTTATATTATTTTCTATCTTTTAGGTGGAGCTTGAGTGACTCTAGTCAAGTATATCTTAGTTATGATTGGTGAAAAGTTCTCCCGTCTCCGTTTAAAGTAATACGCTCCGAGAAATTCAGGGCGCGTGCTCAGTAAGGGGTGGTCGCACCTTGGAGGCGGGTAGCTTTTGGGATGGAGGTGTGTTTTGGTATTATAATGATATGATAATGAGCAAAAGTACACTAGGGTACAGCATTTGTCAAAACATGACAGGTCCTTGGCTCAGGGTGGCAAAAAATGCAGCTTATTGGTCTCGGTGTGCACAAGAACAATCGAGTCCCCACCTGATCACAGAGTCTAGCCGTGGTGTCTCCACTCCACTCTACGCTCCGTACTGTTCCTTAGAGCTAGCACACCAGGTTTCCCCAGCACGATAGCATCTAAGGTTGGAAGCCTAGGGAACACTCAGGTAATACAGCTATGCCCTACCCTGAAAGCCTCTTCAGTGCTGTACATTTTCTTTAAAATGTGAATGTTAGTTTTATTTTCCTAGTTACTTCAGGCAATTGCACCACACCTGCACACCCAGTGCTGTTTATTTGCCTTTTATAAATATTCCTTTTATAAATATTACTAAATTCAGATTGAGTTGAGACTTCATTTATAGCAAATTGGTGACCCCGACATGATCTTCTTGGACTTTGGATCTGTGACCGGTAAAGGTAGACGCCCCACATAGTCGCCCTTGCCGATAGTGGTGCTAGAGTCCAACAAGATTTCAAACATAAGAGGCAAGTAAAGAACCAAGAGCTCTCCCTTTGTGACCCATAATTGTGCACGCAAAGACCCGAATGAAGATACCATTTGGTTGGGTGGGATTCGGCTGTGTGACTGTGTGTAAGGGTGTGACTGAGACGGAACTTAGTTCCAAAGCGAGTGCGGACATCTTCTAACCGCGGTTCCGATCTCCCGCGAGGGACTCGGCTGGTGAAGGACTGATGCTATTGGTCTAGGAATTCATGGGTGGGTTAACCACTTGCAAGACACCTCTACACAAACACAGCCAGGGATTCGGAACCTCTTTAAGGGTTCCAGGGATTCGGAACTTATTTGAAGGTTCCAGGATGGGTCTGGGGGAAAGTAGATTCTCTGACCTGGGAGACTCAGAGAGCCCAGACATTCCACCAGAAAGCCCATTAGGGATAATGTTAAAATATTGGGATGTTTGGGAATCGAGGAAAGGAAAAAATAAAGAGAAAATGGCTCAATTTTGTATGATAAAATGGCCAAAGGAACCTTTAAGGCCACATGTTTTTTGGCCAGCTTTTGGATCCTTTGAGGATTGGGTATGTCAGGCATTAAACCTCTATGTTAACTCTAAGGAGCCTTTTAACCAAGAAGAAAGCGATTATGCGGCTCTGTGGGCAAGAACTAACAGGGGAAAGGACAATTCGTGGAAAAGGAAGTAAGGTATTTAGGACATTGGCTTAGCCAAGGAAAGAAAAAATTGGATCCTGACAGGGTATCTGGGATTTTAGCCCTGTCATCATCCAAAATGAAGAAGGAAGTGAGGCAACTGCTCGGCCTCTTGGGATATTGTAGGCCCTGGATTGAAGGGTTTAGTGAAAAGGCAAAGTTTTTATATGAAAAATTGACTGGAGAAAAAATTAAGTGGAATGAG